TTTTTAATTTAATTTAATTTTATTTTTTTACAGTTTCAACAAATAATACACTGCATATATTCTTCTTAGTGGTTAATTGCTGTACAAGATCCTGGTTTTCTTCTAACAGTTTCAGAGTTTCAGGTCTTACACCTAAGTCTTTGATCCATCTTCAGTTGATTTGCAGGGTAAGAGGGCTCTGCCAATGGGCATCCAGTTTTCTCAGTGCTGTTTGTTAAGAAGCAGCTACTTTTCCAGTGTATGTTTTTAGTCCCTTTGTCCAGAACCAGATGACTGGCATCATCTGTGATCCCGGTTTTACTCCACCGGCTTACGTGTCTGTGTTGGTGCCAGCGTCGTGCTAGTTGGGAGCGTGGCTTTGTAGTGTAATTTGAAATTGGGTGTTGGGATGCCGCCAGCTTTGCTCTTTCTATGTAAGATTGATACAGCTATTCTGGGCCTTTGGTGTGCTCATGTGAATTTTAGAGCTGTTTTTTTTTCTACCTCTAAAAAATGTCATAAAAATTTTTATGGGGATTGCACTGAATCTGTAGCTTTTGGTAACTGCTGACCCATGGACAAGGGGAGTCTTTCCATCTTTAAATGTCCTCAGTTTTTTTCTTTAAAGTTCAGTAATTTTCACTGTAGAGATCTTTTACCTCCTTGGTTAGGCTGATCCCTAGGGATTTTACTTTTTTGGAAGCTACTGTGAATGGAATTGTTTTCCTGATCTTTTTTCAGCCAGTTCATTATTGGTGTATTGAAAAGCTGTTGATTTTTCTTGATGCTGCGTTTGCATCTTCACTAGTTATTTAATGTTGTTGAGCAAGATGCTGATCAGACTGTTTGGTTTCACTGGATTAGTGTTGAATGATTTAAAGAAATGGAAGGTGGTTTGTAGGACAAGGATTTCAGAAGATGGCGATAAATGTAATAAAATGGTGACTAGTTGGTGAAATACTTGGGAAACAGTAATGGTGGTGATACAGGTTTGTTTTTATTAAGTGATTATCATTGTTGCCTCTAAATTTGTATTACTCTCTTTTGGCAGGGTGTGTTAAGCCTTGAATATTGTGTGGGCATTATTGGTGGCAAACCTAAGCAGTCCTATTACTTTGCTGGATTTCAAGGTTAGTGATCTACTGTATTCTTTTAAAAAGCAGAAAGTTAATATGAGGTTATCTGGAGCAGAATGATTAACAGGCCAAATGAGTACCTGATACACTCATCCGTCCTGCCGTGGCCGCTCATTTGTCACTTGGTCTACAGCATAATTGGATTCTGTAAAAATGTATGTTTAATATCTGTTATTACACACACAGGCATAATTTATTGGTTTTGCTAAACTTGAGAAGACATCGCCACCACATTCTGGCGGTTGCTATTTACATATTTACCTTTTACTAGTTTTAGTGGTGCTGGTTGATGATAAAATGACAAGCAATATGTTCTTCCTGTCAGGATAAAGAAGTGCAATACATTTTTCATATGCAAACTATAGAATATAATTGTGTGTTTGTGAAAGTAATTTTATCTCCAAAAATTAAATGACAGCTTCATCACTTTATAAAAATTCTGCTTATACAAGCATATTTGATTATGCAAAAGTTAATCTATCCTGTGCAAACCTGTGTTTCAGTCAATGAATATCAGTCTGGCAAGCTGTTACTCATAGGGTTTTTTCAGCTGCTCTACATAGAAATTGGACTGTAAGCAGTGTAATAATAAGGTGGATTTTGAATTACTTGTCTTCTGTTTTGTCCTTGTAGATGACAGTTTGATTTACATGGACCCTCATTACTGCCAGTCTTTTGTAGATGTCAGCATAAAGGATTTCCCTCTTGAGGTACTATGCATAGAGCACTGTATTTTTTTTTTTTTTTTTTTTTTACCATGGGAGCAAACTAATTATTTAGAAATGTGTTAGGTAGCTATGCTTTGATAGTAGTACAATTCCAAGTTAATATTTTGCTGACTTATAAAACTGTAGTCAACACAGTGGTCAAAGGTTAGTACTTCATTGCTGAATTTTAATTTATGATATACTTTCTTTTTCATTTACCTTTGTCTCCAACTTGTTAGATGCCCTAGCCATACTAAAATAAATGAGCAAACCTCAGAGTAATTTTGTAGAAAAATAGGTAAACTGTACTAAAATTTAAAACACAAAAATATAAAAAAGAATTTAAAGTATTAGGTATATTTTTTTAAAAAAAAAGGAGAAATGAAAGAAAACACATTAGACTTGAAGTGACAAAACGTTTTAAGTATAGTAATTAATCTTAGCCCTTAGGTTAGAATTTCTAAGAGCTAATCTGGGCTTCTAATATTTGTTTTAAGTTTCATTTTTTATCTTCTCCTTTCTCCTTTCATAGGTCATTTTGTGATCCAGTATTTTAATTCAGTAAAAATTGAGAGTTAATAAATCAGACATCTAATCATTACATAGTTTTGGTTCTTTTTTTTCTCAGCTTATGTAGACTAAAATAATTTTACAGAATAAAATACTTTTAGTCACTGAAGTGGCATGGATCACCAGTGCTCGAGGGATTGACATGTTGAAATACAGTTATGTAACTTGTTTTAGTAATATGTTTTGCTAGCGTTAATACCGAATAGTATTAAGAGGCAGCTTCTGAGCATAAACCACCCGGATGTGCTTGAGGCAGTAGCTTACAGAGGGTGCTGCCATGTTTTATGACGTAACTCTCTAAACCAGACCACGCGCGAGCATCTGGAGGCCGGAGGTCAGGGCTTCCCGTTTCCTTCAGAGCGTCGGTGCGTGCGAACCCTCACGGCTGTGCTGGCTGCCATTGGAGCCGCGCGGAGGGCGCGTGAGCAGGGCCGCGTCATCTGCCCTGTGAGTCTTTTTTTGCCACATAAGTCTAGGTTACATTTCCAGTGTATCTGGGCCAAACTGGCTCCAAACAGACGGTAGATACTTGAGATTCAGATGGACAGTGGTTCATAATGCCTATTTCAGTATTATATAAAACTGGCAAATTAAAAGATTATTGATCCTGGGGCTGGCGAGATGGCTCAGTGGTCTAAAGCACCTACTTAGAACAAGCTTAGCAAAGCA